GCCCGTCAGGTTAGTCTGGACGCTCCGCGGTCGACATCAAAGGCATTTGTCAACCTCCCAGGTATGCCTCCTGGGATGAGGCATACTTGGGAGGCCGACAAATGCCTTTGATGTTGACCACGGAGCGTCCAGACTACCGCGCTAAGCCAGCAAACAGCTGATCGGCTCAGCGTGGCAGCCATTTAAATTTAAATGAAGCGGCGATTATTTAAATTATTTAAATTGCCGCTTCATTTTCCTATGCCGGGTAGCCTAATGTACATGCCTCTGGCGACAGAGGCATGTAGTCTAGACGTACCCTGTCTTATCATACTACTACTAAGCTGTGCTTCCACAGTGCTATGCATAAGGGTCTCTCAGTGTTTCATAAGCCATGTTCAGGGGACATTAAAACATGGGGGTTTTCTTCTGTTTCCCAGTGATAAGCTAACATGAAATTGGTAACCATGAACCCAATCCCATTCCTGAGTGAAGTGCTGCTCCAGATCAGGATCCAAACTTGGAGGTAATTAGATCTAGAGTTCTGTCTCAGACTTATCCCTAGTTATACAAGCACATTCAGGGCTGCTTGGACAGGGAGCCTGATTTTTTTTTCTAGTGTTGCTGTGAGAGAGAGAGGGAGAGACAGCACTGAACCCTACTTGCTAAATGCAGCACTGACATAGTCAGCCTGCTATTATTTTTAGCAGCGCGTGTTTCTCTTTCTAGTCTCTCAAACAAACCAACCAAACCAAGCTGTAGCGTGAGCACTGATTATAGCTAAAGGATGATACAAAACAAGAGGCAACATGCAGATCCTGTAACACTTGCATTCTTAAAAAGGCTTATCCACTTCCACCCACGCGCTAGAAACGTGTCAGTACAGAGTAGCATAATTTTCAGTAAGCGACTGCTACGCCCTTGCACCACAGATGCTTCTCGCACCTGCTGGGCGGCCACTATCCATTAACATTACCATCACTGGTATATTTGCATGTACCTTCCCAGCTGGTATTCTTGACCTGGACATAGCAAGAAGTCCCAATACTCAGGTGCTAGTAAGATTTTTCATTCTTCCTTTCAGATCATCTGCTCATCTCTCCACTAATGCAGGACTGTCCCCTGCAGTACATACTCTCCTGGGAGTAGATGACATAGGATGACTCACTCAGTGATGCCTGTTCTGTTCATTCCCTCTCAAGCCCCTGGCATTAGCTCCTGTTGCAAGAGAGGAGACTGGGCTAGATGGACCATTGGTCTGACCCACAATCAGGGCTGCCAACAAAAATGCCAGGTCCCTAGGCAAGGCAGGGGGTGGCCACTCTGGGTTCCTGGAAGGGGCAGGGCCTTGGGCCAAAGAGGTGGCTTCTGCCTAGCCTCCCCCAGCCAGCCTTTCAGTGCTGCTCAGCCTGTGCTGCCCGGGGCTCTGGCACCAATGTAAAGGGCCCACAGCAGCTGCCCCTTTTGCACTCTGTTGGAGGCCTTGGGTGCTCCTCACTGCTGCTGGTCTGACGTGCTGTCGCCATGTGGGTGCAGCATTGGACCATGGCAGTGGCTGGATGGTGCATGCATGCACGTGGTACACACAAGCCACCGCCAATACGGCAATTTTAAAGTGTCAGGGAGCCCCGGGCTACCCAGAGCTCCCCTGCAACATCACTAGCACAGTTTAAATTGGCACAGTTCAAAAGCAGCAGGGAGCTCTGAGCCACCATCATTGCTACTGCAGCAGTGGCTAGGAGCCCTATGTCCTCTTAAGTTACTTGGGTCCTTGAGCAATTACACCCTTCCCCCTATTTGGCAACTCTGTCCACTATGGCCATTCTTATGCATTCTCCAGAGGAGTTGGGAGATAGGGGTTGTACCCCTTTCCTTGGCCAGCTATTTCACAGCCTAAGAGATTGTGCCCAGGTTCCTGATATTCTCTTCTCTCTTGATCAGAAAGAGGATCCAGACCTGATAAGAGCTTTTCCTTCTGAAGTTACATTTCCAAACAAATCTCCCACCCGGATCTCTGAGAAAATGTAATGATCATTCATCTTCTCAAATGGTAATATTCACTAAAGGTACGTCTACACAGCAACATTATTTCAAAATAACTAGTGTTATTTTGAAATAACTTAGTCCACGTCTACACAGCAGGCAGTTATTTCGGAATAATGTCGAAATACTGTCAAGTTGGAGGACTGCTTACTCCGACTTCTGTAACCCTCATTGTATGAGGAGCAAGGGAAGTTGGAGAACGAGTGCTTTATTTCAAAATAAATGCTGTGTAGATTCTCCCAGTTTCGAAAGGAGCTATTTCAAAATAAGCTATGCAATAGATCAATTTGTTTAGCTTATTTCAAGTTAAGCTCTGCTGTGTAGATGCACCCAAAGACACTACTGAAACTGTCCAGAAACAAAGAACTGTGAATAAATGTACAGCAAATGAGGGGGGAAACAAAGTCACAAGATGCTAATGGGTTTACTTCAGAGCATCATCGATCTCCTTTTTAGGTAATGAAAATCTGGGGACAGAAATGAAAGAGGGGAAAGACCCATTATTTGCAATACACATGAAGATTCTAATTAGTCAGGATTAAACTCTCAACAGCTTGTGGCTATGGCAACAGGTTCCCTCAATTTCCAGATTTGTAATGAATACAGATGTAATTCCAGAACATTTCTCCTCCTCCCTAGCCCAATGCTACCCTTGTTCCTCTGGTTAGCAGGCAAGTATGAGCAATCAAATGAAAGGTGACTCACCACCAGTGCTCAGCAACAGCCGCCTCCTCCAGCCCACTTGGTCCAGCCCCATTGGAGTGCTTTGGGATAGGGGTAAGGAGCGACATCTGTCCAACAGGATTTTGAAAGGAGGTGCTTGTGGTGATGGATGAAGAGGGTGAGACAGGGGCTGGAAAGAAAGATTGTGGGGTAGGAATATTACTGCCTATACTTTGAGAAAAGTAGGACTCAATTGTGGCATGTTTATTGCAATACTCCTGCCTTTCTCCAAAACATCAAGCTCACCATAATGCATCCTAAATGGGCCAAACAAATCTGTGACCACATAACTGTTTGAAATAGAAAGATTTAGGCTTGGTGATCATCTCTGAATACTATCATTTCTCATTTCTAGTAAGTGATTAGCTTCAACTCAGATTGAGGGGGAAAGTTTTCAAAAAGCACACAAGTCTCATAGGAGCGTAAGTCAATAGGGTACAGGATCTTAAGTCTCCTGGGCTACAGCTACAACACAGCTGAAGGTCGACTTAAGGTACACAACTCCAACTATGTGTATAATGTAGCTGGAGTCAATGTACTTTAAGTTGAGTTACCACAGGGTCTAAACTGTGGGGCTTCGACAGGAGAAACTCTCCTGTTGACTTCCCTTACTCTTCTCATCAAGGGTAGAGTAATAGGGTCATCCAGAGAGCAATCTGTGGTCTGTTTTGCAGGTCTTCCTTAGACTCACTAAATCAACTGCCGGTGGATCAATCTCAGAGCATCGATCCTTATGGAAGTGTAGATGTAGTCTTGGATATTTTTGAAAGTTAGAACCAAGGATAGTGTCCAGTTCCTTCCTGGCCATACTTTGTTGGTCTACGTGAAACAAGTTGTTTGTTTTCTCATTCCAGTTCCCATGCTGACATGTCACAGCTATCATCACTACCACAATTCCCGTTCACTCAGAAAGGTTAATAATTGAATAGCATGGAAAGTGAACTACAATGCACATGGAGATGATCCCTCCAAAGCTGAATGAGGCACGCAGTCAGGGAGGAGTGTGAGGAGTTAACATTTTCTAGTGCTAAGGTTAAAGAGAATGAATAGTCCAAGTAGTCCTGTGGCACCTTAGAGACTAAAAAAATATACAGAGTTAAAGAGAAAATATCAGTTTCTGGTACTGGCTATCTTGCCGCTTACTCCATAATTTGTTTTAAATACAAATATCACTTTAAAAAAGTACATGTTTCGTTAACATTAACAACAACATAGAATGATACTTATGGCAGAGAGCTAGGATCCGGGTGCCAAAGCAATTCCAGCAATAGCCTAGCTGAGTTATTCTCAGTATTCTGGATTTTGTTAATATAAGAATTCCTGTATAAAAGTGTATTATCTCCCGGTTCCCCACAACCTCACAAAAACAGCTGCCTTTCTAGTCATTTGCAGACAAATGTATTAGTTCTTTTCCAGGGCAATAAACAGAGCCCCACACTTGGTCTTTGGACAGGTCAATAGGTTGTAACTTTGTTTTGTCTAGCAGATATTCTTGTGGAGCAGGTAAGTTCATTAACGGGGGCCCAGAAGGCCATCCTGGCAGGAAATGTCTCTGCACACCGAGGTGGAATTTTATTATCTTTGAGGTGCACCTGGGTTGTAAATAAATTACATTGAAAATTATCTAGACTATCCTGCCTCTTTAAGAACCAAATCCAAAAGTGCTTGCCTCAGCTAAAATCAAAGTGTAGCACAGGGCTTGCAACAGCCAAGTCGAAAACAGAAGTCAAAGTATGAATCATTTCAGGCAAGGAAAACTCACCTAGCGCATTTCTTCTTCACAGACACATTTCTGCCCCACTCAGCAGTCCACATCTTGCCTCTAATGTGATTGGAAGAATTAATTAATTGTCTACAGCTGGCCCAGCCCAGCTACCTAAGCAAATCCTCTCATTCATCACAGACCTTCTTCTGCAGGAGAGTGTTACCATCCCTTTCCTGGCAACCCTATCCAAGAGTCTGTGTCTATCTGCAGCAACTGTCATTAGCATCTTGACAAGATACCAACAATATTTACCATTACTCAGGCTTGGGGTGCAGTTCATATTTATTGTTCCAGTTAGAGCTAAAATCCAAATATAAGCCCTTCTAAATTCTGTTGGTATTCTGAAGTAGGTTTTGGTTTGGTTTGGCTTATTGTAAGGACAGGGGCCATTTGTGAAGTTACTTTAGTGAGCATAGGTTTTGGAGAGGTAGCCGTGTTAGTCTATTTAGGCAAAAACAACAAGGAGTTCAGTGGCACTTTAAAGTCTAACAAATTTAGGAGGGTATTAAGGAATAAACTTTCATGAACTACAACTCATTTCCTTTGATCCTGAAGGGAAAAGAAAACAGAGAAGGGATGAGTGTGTGAAATTGTTGTTAGTGAGCATGAAATTTTGCAATCATCATGCTTCAGGGCATAAGTTGATCACCAGCTGGAATCTCTCTCACACACACACACAACTGGACAGTGTTGTAACATTAGCTGCATTATGTTCACATTATCTTCTGAATGTGTCAATTGGAGTGTGTTATTCACAACACGTGTCACTACTGCATTCTATCTTCCTAATGTTTTATCTGGTGCCTGTCACCCTCATTTCTTGTTCTGGGATAGGGATGTTAAAGGTTAACTAGTTAACTGGTAAGTCTCACCTTTAAGAGGCGAGGATACTGGTCACAGTTAACTGATGGGGGCTGGAGCAGCACCCCATGGGCAGGGTTGCTCCAGCCCCATGGAGCCCGCCGCGGGCGGGGGGACACTCCAGCCCAGCTGGAGCAGCCTTCGTCCATGGCTGGCCCAGCATGCACAAGCTGCAGCAGCCCCCATCCACAGCAAGGAGGCCTGGACTGAAGCGCCTCCCTGCTCACCCCCGTTAAATCAATTAACCAGTTAAACTTAATGTGTAACCAGTTAACTAATTAAACGAGATTCTACATCTCTATTCTGAGATCACAATTCCTATATTCTAGGATGGCCACACTCCAGTCCCAGATTTACTCTGGCCAAAAACAGGAATGGCTGGCAAATTGAACACGAGAAGTTCGTTAGGACCCATCTCTTATTCCTTCATTGCACGTGCCTCTGTACTCGTTCACTAAGCTTAGAAATAGAATCTGAATGCCTATTTTGACTGAAGAGGTCACACAGAAAAGAGCAAAACTTACAGGGGTGTCTTCCTTGAAAGCTGATTGCTTACTGCTAACATGACCCAGACATTATATCCGGTGCCTGTGAAGTACTGCTGAAAACAAACCAAAAAAGACTTTGCTGTTAACTGTAGCAACCATAAAGTGTCTGAGTACTCTTTGGCTGTGCCTCTGCCAAGGTAATAGTGAATCCAGACAGAGGCAATTGCCTTTTAAAGCTAATAAGCAGAACACTATAACTTTCCCTCTCACAAGCAGTGAGTACCTTTCATTAGCTAAAGAACAATTGTCTTGAAATGGCCACATGTGCAGTGACTCTTTGAAGAATGGGTTCATTTTTTTAGAGTTACACAATTCCAAAATCAGGCTTTTATTTTTATTCTGACAAACGATGAGTCTCAGATATGCTCTGTGAGCTAGGAAATCAGCAGAAATTTCCGTGGAAGATATAACAGTAACAATTAGGAAATTCATCTTTTGCAAAGGACAATTGTGATCACCTAGTTGGATCTACAGCACAGGCTACAGAACTTCCAAAATGATCCCTAGGGCAGGCCTTTCAGAAAAATTCAATCTTGATTTCAAAATCACCAGTGATGTAGAATCCACCATGATCATATGTAAATTGTTCCCATCGTTATTATTATTCTCTTTTTACTAAGCTTTTGGGTAGATGAGAGTTGCATCTAAATTTACATGGCCCCTGTTGCCACAGTAACTGCGTGCCTTTAATGTATTTATCTTCAAAACACCCTGTGTTTTGAGGATAAATATATTTTACAGATGGGAAGCTGAGGCAAACAGAGAATATGCCACTTGCCCAAGCTCACACAGGAAATTTATGTTAGAATAAAGAATTGAACCCAAGCCCCAGGCTAGCATAATTACCCACTGGGCCACCATTTCTCTCTTGATTAGAAGAAAAAATGGTAGACAAAATAAGAGGGGTTCCACGTAAAGGTACATTTACCAGCCATTCCAGCTTTATGTATATTATGAATGCAGGTCTTCCTTGAAGGTGAACTGGTAATAAGGTTTGTTACTGGGAAGAGGTTGCAGGGAATGTATGATATTTTATATTTCTACAAATAATAACAATAATTAAAAATAAAATACAGTAATGCTCAGAGTTCTCAAGTGGGATCAAAGCTCCAATAAGTGGGGCACTCTACACACACACACACACACACACACACACGTAGTATAAGGGCAGGTCTATGCTAGGGGAAGTACTCAACTCCAGATTCACGAATAGTGTAGCTGGAGTCAACTGCTGGAGGCTGACAGGAGCTCTGGTGGAATAATGGAGTCAACCAAAGTGATCAGTGTTCAATTTAGTAGGTCTTTAGTAGACCTGCTAAATCAACCCCAGGGGGTTCAGTCACCACAGCAGTAATGTCCCAGTAAGTGTAGACCTATCTTTAAACAGACTGTAAGCTGTTTGGGACAGAGAATTAATTAAAAAGATACATGTGATTATAAGAAACTAACATAGGGAGTAGGGACCATCAGATCACAATTAGGGAAATATGTAGTTACATCGATTAACCATGTTGCAGCTAGTTGGTTGAGTCAAATACATATCAATAAAGCCATCTGCCTTTATGTACACCACTAAATGTCCCATTGACAGCAAAATAATAGTATTTCCAGACAAAACACCAGTTAAAGAAAAAACAGAAGGCTTTTTAATTAAGATTTTAATAATAATTTGTGTTAATATAAAAATGTCTGAAAATCAGAACGTGGAGTTACCCTACTTTTATTTTGCATTGAATAGCTTATAAAAATCGTGTATGCATATTAAAGGTCAGGATTTGGCCCTCTATAGACAAAATGGCCCTGCCACGAACAGGTAGCTACTACAGAATAAAACATAGCAGCCATTTGGCCCCATCAGGATTTAAGAGAGCGGGGAAGTAAAATATGTCTTATTTGAAAGATTAGTCTGAGGTTTCATAGCTAGCTATCTTTATACACACAGCGATGAATATGCAT